TGCTTTCCAAAGGGAATTCAAAACTCTCAAAARCTGTTGTAGCAGGTCTGAAGGAGGAAAATGGGGTGCAAGGCTGGGGGAAAGCATTGTTCGCCCTCCAGACTAGGTACAACTATTAATGGAATCCAGAAGGTTGAGCCCAAGGTAAGGGCAAAAGATCAACACTAAATACCATCCCAAACTGCCCTTGATGTTATTATCATGTCATAAACTGATATAACACAGTAACAAAGCAATCCTGATTCCTCTGAATGAGGGCACCACAAAGAACACATACAGGAACATACAGTGTTAGGTAACACACCCTGAACACTCCTTGAACAGACCAAGCAACAGTGTGACCAGTGGCTCCCTGCCTATTACAACATATGCGTAGATCAAATTTGTTTTCAGCTGCCCCTGGGTAGATCTGTTGTTATCTCAAYCCTTTGTGCCACACACTGGGAGCCAACCAAGTCATCTGTGGTTTAGAAATCCTACTCCCCAAATCCATGCCCCACTGAGACTCTCCAAAACCACTCCCTTACACTCCTCATCCCTTTGTCCTAGCTTTCCCCTCCCCATTCCTATTGCAGCGGGMTGGAGTTGAGAACTGGAGGCACAGAAGGCAAAGATCRCAGATTGAAATAAGARCAATTTACTGGAAACAGCAATGAGAGAARAAAACAAACAGTAACAGCAACAGCATTAATAAYAACAGGTATAAGAAAAAGWAACTATTTACASGAAGGCACGAATACTGATGGCTGCCCCTGCCATGTTTTCTCCATCTCGTTCTCCCTAGCACACAGAGTCCCCTTCTCCCCTCTCRCACACCCAGCAATGATTGACGTGGTATAGAATAATCCAGACCTTCAAAAAATTAACCACCCTGGCTGAAACCAGGACATCAACTAAAACGAAACATTGCTCTAGTCAACATAAGCAAAGAAAAGGCATACAAAAAGTATTTTTGATTAAGCATTACATAATTCAAGCATCACATAAAATCACCTCACAACTGTACTTTAAWGAATACATCCAGTCATTGCCAATGGAAATTAAAGCAGCTTATAACACACACAACAATCTCTTAACTTTAACACGTCACTCTGGCAATTCCAAGYTGTACAGAACACATACTTTTCCATGCTTCCCCCACGCTTGTGTATGAAATGACTCCACACACTGCCAAGAATGCAAACAGGAAGAGAATGACACTCCGCTGGAGTCGGGACAGCTGCTTCCATTTCTTTAGGAGAGAAAAGAAGTGAAAGAAAGAACATTTAGCATGACATTAAGAGCCYACTCAGTTAAAAATAAACTCTTATCAGTTCATTCAGATTAAAAACCACAAAATCCAGTAGGTTTAATTTTATTTTATTTCCAACTGCAGACATCCATTGCCTATTTTCTTTGATGATAGGGAAAATAGAAATCCAACCAGCTAGCACAATGCACAACAAACTCACAAATGTAAGAGCTACTTGCTGCAAGAACCTCAGAACCTGCCAAGTCTCCCAGAAAGCTTCAACTACAACTGACTTTGATCACAACCTCCACTGGCAGACCTGAGCACCTGCCCAGATATCAACTGGGRAATCAACCAAAAGCCTCTTTCCTCCTGGCTACAGAAGGACTGCAGAGTGCATGTGCAAAATTAGAACCAGGAGAAAATGGCAGAAAAACTAAAGATGTTACTGCAGCAAAGGAGAAAGGCTGAAAATAAGCTGAGCACCAATCACTGGACAGGTTTTGGGTTTGATTCCTGTATGGGCCATTTGCTTCAAGAGTGGATCCGTTTCCAACTCAGAATATTGTGTGAATCTGTGAAAGAGAAGTCAGGCATCCTGGCCCTGAGAAGCATGGGAACAAGTCCTGCACCACAAAAAAAAAGTCACCAACCTGCAGCAACATGAAAGTGAAATAAAACACCACAACAATGAACAAGACAAATCCACGACCTTTTCAAATTTAGTCCTGGGCAAAWATGTATTGTTAACACTAAAGTATATGTGGAAATCACTGAAAAATTGACAGCAAATGGTTCATAACCTGAAAGAGGCCAATGTATATTAGCTCCATTTATGAAGAGTTGGAGTTAAACATTAAGTGCTAAACYGTTACTGTTAGAAAAGTAACAGTCCTCTTGAAATTCTCTAATCCTGGTTTTGACATACAGAGAGGGAACTTTATTGCCAATGCCACACTTGGGAACATCTCCGACAAACCACACAGCACCTCCCACAGTCCTCATCCTCTTACCAACAGCCAGAGGCCAGGAATGTCTCAGTGCAGAACTGTCAATGTGATCACACTGTGAGTCCCACAGCACACCATTTCCTGCATTCCTCCTGCACTGTTGACCATACAGGAAYACTATACACCCTTTTCTGTGCACACTTCAAGGTGCTGGTCCCCCTGTGTCATCTTCAGTTCTACCTGCATGGCAAACTGTATGACTCTCTCTCTGCTACAGAAAGATGCTGGAAATCCAGCAGCCCTGTGTTCATCAGGGTAGGACAGAAAAAGRAGCTTCAATTGTGATGGGTACGAATGGGCTTGGAATGGGCAAGAATGAAACATGTGAGGGCATTCACCACCATCTTACTGGGTTTGTTTTTTTCTCACAAAGAATAAGGATAAAATGAAGGGTGATGACTTGGGCCCATATTTCTCTAGCTGGTAATAAAAAAGGAACTGTGAGASTGTGTCCCACTTCATACACTTCATCTGACAATCTGTAAAGCCTCTGTAGGTGACTATACATCATCTCCTATGTGTAACAAGGGTTATCTTGTCACTTTGGCTCACTCTCCAGCCCAAGACTCCCACCCYGCATGAAGCTGCCTGCCCACTCTACCCATAAGCAGACAAGGTCACTTCCCCAGAGCTCTACCAGAGGACCCCTCTCCTCACACTCAGCCTTCCCAATGAAAGCAGAACTGTTCCCTCTACTCTCCTAGAGCAGAAGACAGGCCTCTCCCCTTAAGCCCTAACAGAGAGATCAAAGGCACAGAGACTAAATCTCACTGYCCTCATTCCTGTCCGGAGAGCGCAGTGCTGCCCGTCAAATGTCCACTACCAGAAGGCAGGATTTTATCGTATGCCCCTGGCCCAGCTTAGTTCATGAAAATTACGACGCGGAGACCCCTCAGCCAGCCCGCGCCCTACACATCCCTACACATCCTTACACACCCCTACACATCCTTGCACATCCCTACACATCCCTACACATCCTTACACATCCCTACACATCCCTACACATCCTTACACATCCCTACACCTCGGAGAGCAGCCCCGCGAGCATGCCGAGAGCAGAGCCCAGCGCGGGGCCGCCCCAGGCCCAGGGCCCACACCCATGGGCTCTGCCCGACTCGGACCTGGGGGACCAAGCCAGGGCCCCCATGACAGACCAGCTGCACCCAAGCCCAGGGTTATCCCTGCTCGCCCGGCCCAACAGCCCTCCCTCATCGCCAGGTGCCCCCTGCACCCCGCCCGGGGATACCCCCGGTACCGCACAGCTCTCCGCGTGGCCCTCACCCGCCAGCAGGAGCGCCGCCGCCAGGCCTTGCTGTTGTTGTAGCCACCGATCCCGACCGCCTCCTCGGGGCCGAGAGCGACGGAGATGAAGTCCCGACGCGGCGGTCCCGCGGCGGCGGCAGGAGCCGAGTACATGACGGCGCCTCAGGGGCCGCCTGCCGCCATCGCCCCGCGGGACGGAGCGGCCGCTTCCGGCAGCCGCTTCCGGTGCCGCTCTGGCGCCGGCGCGTCCGCTCTCGATGGCACCGGGGCGAGGCGGGATTGAGGCAAGCGGCGGCGCTGCGGAGGCACCGGGGAGTGCC